GGCCCAAGTGGCCCGAGGGAGAGACACGCTGCCAGCAAGCAGCTCACATGGAAAGCTCGACAGGAATCACCCGGGCTGCAGAGCGCGCCAATTACACAACAATCAGCAGGTCGGACGCCCGCTTTCATGCCCCGCCCCACCCCGCCCTCCCCATCTGGCCGCCCCTGCAGGCTCCCCAGCGAGTGCTCCGGGCACGGGACGGGGTACAGAGAACACACGTGCCCCTTTTTAATCGGAGATCAAAAGCTGGAAGGAGAACGGATCCCTGGAGAAGGGAAAAAAGGGGTGCGGTTGAGACGGCCGGCCAAGGAGGGGCTGGGAGAGAGGGGAGAGGCTGGGAGGGAGGAGGGGTGCAGGGCAAGGTCCCACACAGCTCTCATGGGGTCCGCACGGCCCCTGGTAAGGCTAGCACTGTGCCTTTTTTTTATTGATTTCAGAGAGGAAGGGAGAGAGAGAGAGAAACATCAATGATGAGAGAGAATCATGGATCGGCTGCCTCCTGCACACCCCACACTGGGGATGGAGCCCACAACCCGGGCATGTGCCCTTGACCGGGAATCGAACCCAGGACCCTTCAGTCCGCAGGCCGATGCTCTATCCACTGAGCCACACCAGCTAGGGCAGCGCTATTCCTAGAACCTGCAGACTCACGGGACGTGACCAAGGTCACAGGGCGGCGGCAGGGAGAGCTGCCTTCACCCTCCAGCTGTCGGATGCTCTGTCCCGGCCCAGATGCCTCCATGCTGTCGACAGGGCGGGGGGTGGAGGGACTTTTCTCGCCCCTCATCTTGGCCTCCCAGCCTGTCAGCGGGCGCAGGCTTCGTGGGCACCCCCGCACCCTGCACATCAAAGGCAGGTGGGCGCTGGGCGGCTCTATAGCGAAGCCAGTGCCCACCTCGCCACGTGCCCTGCGCAGCCTGCCGGTGGCTAATTGAGAAAGAAGCGGGCAGCGTGCCCTGAAGTGAGGCAATGCCTGCTGGCTGGCTCCAGCGGAGCCAACCCCGCCCCCCCCCCAGCCCAT